GGGCGGGGGGGGGGGATGGGGTCTGCATAGTTAGTTCGGGAATATTTAAAGCGGCGACAAACCTGTTAACTGATTGGGGTAGTGTTCCGAAGCCTCGTTAGCTGATTGATGAATGAGTGGACCAAAGACGCACTGCGTATAAATCAATCGATCCATCCGTGAACGGCTTCCTGGGCAGGTCCCTGAAGATTTCCAGTTAGTTTTGTTTCCGATGCGTGCTACATTTTCCGCCCATGTGATCGATTCTCTTTGATGCTTCTCGCGACGTAATTGAACGTCCAGTTCGCTCGCTGATTGCCCGAATTGCTTTTGTGATTACAGCAAGAAGCTGCTGATCGGCGATGGAGGACGGCGGAGGAAAGGGCTGACAAAGAACCGGAACTCTGTCTGATTCGACGGTTTCGTCTCATTAACGGGGACAGACTTCACAGCCGCAAGGAAACACAGCGCTGAGTCGCCATTGAATTAGATCGTGAAGGTGGAACCAGCCAGCCAGCCAGCCTCCCCCTGCCCCTTCCCCACTTGTCACTGAACTCGCCCGCTGTTCGTCGTCGTAGTCAGTCCCGGAGATGCCGTCGCCGCGGCCGGAGGAGTGCGTTTGGTGTCGCGTGTTCTGGTGGTAGTGCGGTGCGTGATGCGTGTGCTGTGGGTGCTGGTCTTGGTGCTGTGTGTGAGGGCGGAGGATTATTCTGGCCTGAGGGGCGCCGTTCGCCATGTGGAAGACGCCATTCACAAGGAAATGATGATCGAGCCTGTGCGGTACAGTGACCCCAACCTGACAGTCGCGTACCAGTCCTCAGCGCAGTTCAACGCACGTGGGATGGCCAACTTGTACAAAGTGACCAACTACTTCATGGACATCATCCAGAGGGAGGACCCATACCCGGAAGGCAAGTACCAGTACGCTGATAGTCGCTTTGCTGGTAAAGATTTCGCAGTAGCAAGACTGTGCTGATTTTGCGACCACCAGAGGGCCAGCTCTGCCACCCCCACCCCATCCAGAGGGAAGCCGCCGGGGCTTGAGGTCGTCACTTAATTATACCTCCACTCCACATACATTTATTTATATGTATGTCGGTGACCTCTGAGATTTGCGTGAGAATCGTGCTTTACGTTTTTTACGAAACACAAACCAGTTCACGTGCGTAAAGATTCAGCGCAGTCATGAATGAGGTCAGTCTGTTGAATCGCGATGGGAAGTGTTTGAAGCTCGCACTTGCGGGCCTTTGCGTGAGCGAGTAGCCATGACAGCTGGCGGGAGACTTGATTTCGAAGAAACGGGCCACTTGCACAAGGAAAGCCATTCTCTGCCATTTCGCTGGCTGACGTAAGAAGCGGGAGTGCCGCCTCGTCCTGACGAGTAGGAAGCCCGATGTGGCCCTTTCTATCTGCGTTTCCAAACAATTAATTGGCCCTTTCCTAAAAGAAAATCGTGTAAGGTCGAGACGCGTATAACGAAAACAGTTTCCCCATAGCCTCAGTTCATAAGCGGGAAAATTTTCACGGGCAGGTTTTATGATAGTGATCTTTTTAGTTAGGTTGGTGGACCTGAAACTTCACAGAAAAGGGCATTCGAAGTATAAACATGGCATCAGATGTTGCGTTTTATTAAACGGATATTATTTATTTTACTGAAGCCGTCGCTGTAACGCGGTTAATTACCAGAATTGACTCGGAAGATTTATTGCAGTAGTTCTAAGGTCTCCGGGGATTACCTGGAGGTACCAGCATTTTCCTGAAACGAGGCGCAGACCACCCGAGAGAACTGGAGGCTTGTCCCTCGACTTCCGGTCCCCGTCGAACACCGCCGGTCTTTAAGCAGCTTAAAGTCGCAGAGCAGGCCTTGGACCCGCGCAATATTTTGCTTCCCTGTCGTAGTTGCAAGCAAATGAATAGTAAAACTGCAAGACCCAGGGCTGAAACAAAGATTTTCCGCGGTGCCTCTGCGTCGTCACGAGGTGAAGGTGTAGCTCCACGCGATCTTAACCAAGATGTTGTTGAGTGGTCAGCTCAGAGTTCCGGACGCGCTACGAGACGACGAGACTAGGTTGGCCACAAGGGCGCAGAAGAGCCTTGGTCTGTCGGTGGCCTTGGCCGCATCTCGTGCTGAGTTTTGACGCCCGTGTGATCGATATTGGCACTGTAAGTGCTGGAAGTGGAGCTCCGGGCTCGCGGTAACGAACGGCCTGTTGCAGGGGAGGGCAAAAGTAAACATTACCCCATTCCCGCTCTCTTTGGCCCACATGCAGATTGGCTGTTAAATTGCGGTCTTTCATCCGTCGGAGAACATCACCAGGTGTTTCCAAGACGCCTAATTTTCGTTCTTTAATGCGCAGAATATGAAATTAATTTTGTTCTTGTGGTTTCAAGACTCGGGGTTCGACGCCTTAACCCGTTTGTTCGGCACAGGCTTGGACAACCTTCGGGTAGCTTCGGGCGGGATCTAGTTTTCTGAACATGGTCGCAGACCGCGTCATTACATATTAAGTAACTCATTACCGGTAGTCTGAAATAGAGACTAGTGTGCTGTTAAACAATTTCAAAAGCTGTCGCGGGCCGGGTCTAACGCGACCTCTCTCACCGAATGTCATGTTCTCAGCAAAAATTATTGTTTATCGTCGTCTGGGTCGGATCGTTCGTCCAGGACTCGTGAATCGTGCCAGCAGTTGGACGACCAGCAGACGTGTAAGAGCAGTGAGTTTTCATTGGTACGACCTTCATACCGCTCCGTCCACGTCACAGTTGGGTAGCCGGTTGACCTCTTCGTGTTCCATCTCCGGAAGCAGCAGCTTGGTTTGTGGCGTACGGGTGACCCTGACCGCGCAGATACGAAGCAGGAACTCATTCGCACATTTCACTTTGGTCTGGAAACCCGAAGACCACTTGGGAGGATAATATTAAAATGCATCTGGAAGAAATGGCCATTTGCGAACTCCTGTGAGCACGGTAATGAGCCCCCGAGTTTCATGTAACGTGGTGTTAACACTTTCAAGCAAGGTGTTACCTTCAGCGTCTACTTGTTATGCATTTTGCCCGCAGTACATTTATGTTCTTTGTCAGCGACCCCCCCCCTCCCCCCAAACATAGTTGACCTGTTGGTCGTTGTCATGGAGATGTCTGATGTCACCCGACGTACTGGGTGCCAGTCCACGTAATTACTGTTCGCTCGCTCACAAAAATGGCGCGTGACCTTTCATGAGGAAAGCAGTTTGCGATGACGGGCGGCTTACTGGCAGATCTGCGAGCTCCGTGGTGTTATGCAACCCGAAGACTGCTGGCCCCTTTGTTTGTCCAGGACCTATTTTAGTACTCATTTTAGTTTTATTCTCCCATCTACGCTCCCCCTCGCGTTTCCGTACCAAAATGTTGCTTGCATCTCGTCCCAGTTGACGTTTTTAAGGTTTTCTGGCGCTGCGGAGAGAATTTGGTCGCCGTTGGACGAGCGTCGTTGCAGCACGTGATTACAGAAATATCGAGGCGTGGAAGTTGAGCGGGTCACGTAACACGCACGGGGAACTGAGAAGAGGCCACGCGGGAGACCAAGGCGTAGATTAAAGCACAATATTAAAAAGGAATGCTCTTGACTGGACTCGGGTGGCTGTGAACAGGGTTCGACTTGCGGGCCCTCCTGAACGGGGCGACGAATATTAGGGTCCGTTGGAGCAGGAAACTCCTCGAATGGCCCAGTAGTTGTCGGCTGCATCATTGAAAGGATCGGCGATGCAGTCCAGACGAGAAGCTGCCGACTCCCTCCCAAGAGAACAAAGTGGACTGAGTGCATGCACGTCGGTCACTGCCCCAGTTCCGGGTCTTGATTGGCTCTGCCGCTGTGCTTTACGGTAGAACGACTTTTTCCGTCGTGAATTGCGGATACTGCAGATAGACTGAGGAAAATCATGGCAGCATCGAGGTGTAACCATCGCCACGTTGGCTTTCCTGCTTCATGACAGTGACAGCGTATTCAGATACTGTACTGACGTTCACCAGGAGGGGCTGAGGAAAACTGAGTGACCCGCCGCTGGTCTGCATCGATTGGTTTCGTTTTTTGAGCTGGTCACGAGATTCGTGTCTGACACAGAGGCTGGAGACAGCTGAGCAACGAGGAGCGTCGTAATTTGTGTTACGTTGTGGGAGGGGAGTGGAGGGGAGGGGCATGCACGTCTTTCCACCCTTGCGGGTGGACTGGTCCATCGCTCTTTAAGCCGCTTCGCAGCTGCTGGTAATTGCACCCGTCTTCATCCTGTACTCGCGTATCCTCTTTGTCCGCCGAGCTCTGACGTCACCCCACTTGCTCGTCGGAATGACAGCTCGCACGATTGGCAGTGATATCGAGCTGTTGCATTCGAGGTTTTACCCAGTCACTGCTTTGGTTCGGATGTTCAGACGAGCAAAACTTGACGCATTTAAGGAACGAAAGAAGAAGAGGGGAAGGAGAAAGGACACAAAGAAGCAGAGAATGAAGTAAACAGAAACGAAACGAAATAGAAAAGAACCGCAAGTCAGCGGTGGCGTTTGCTGTGCAGATAGGCGCAGCCTCTGAACGAAGCGCTTGGCACTGTCGCACAGAGCATCGAAGTAGAGACTGCGCCGTTTAACACCGCTGGTTCGTCGTAGTTCGTTTTCAGACGGCTCGTGCAGCAGCAGCTGCCGTGGACGCCCACGAAAGTGTGTTCCAGAGGGAACAGACAGCCTGCTAGACCGTGGCGTAGATGGAGGAATAGATTGAATGTGGAATGCCTGGATGCAACTGACTGAGGAGGACAGGGATTTCGTGACCACGGTAATGATCGTCCTGGGTCCATAACGTGTGGAGGAGGATCTCTTGACCAGCGAGGTCGTGGGTACGAAACATGGGCGTTCTTCCTTGGTATTGAAGGACATCGGAAGAAAAGGTTCAGTTTTGTCGCTTCGACCCTTGTTCTCTTGCACACACACGTTCCTGCATCGCCCCGTGCAGGTTTCCCTCAAGGCCGCATTGCCACGGCGTAAGAGGCCAGAAATGTCCACCTCCGAAGGGCCCTCGCTCCCTTCCTTGGACAGCATCGGTAGAGCGGACGCGAAATACAGTGACACTTGTGAGTCACTTTGTTCCTGCTCTGTGACGTCAGGCAAGTATCGGAACAAAGGAATCGTCGTCAGGTCCTCCGCCTCTCCAGCCATGAGAGTGCACCCTTGTATTTTCACGTCAGAATTTTTAAATTAGAACGCAGCGGACTGCGTCAGACGCCGGCAGAAACGCAGAACGTGACTGCGCCCGGGGTCAGCGACACGCGAGAGACCCTCGTCTTGTCGATGTTTATATGCGGCCTCGCCACGCGTGTCCAGGCCCGCGGACAAAACTGACTGCAAGCCTGCACGTTCGCCGTTGCGACATGCAAATTGAATGTGGCACGTATAAACACGCGGCCTTTGTTCCAGCTTCACGCACTGAACATTTATGGACGAATTTAAATCGGGTTTCAGCGGGTCCAGTGTAGCGCTGCTGGATTGAATTTCCAAAAGAAAACCGCGCATTGCGCAAAAATTAGCGTTTTACAGAAAATACAGATTGAATTAAGATCCGCAACTGCGTGGGAGACTGGAACTCGGGACAGGGACAGTTGTCAGCGCGGCTTCGCTCGATTAGTACAGCTGCTGGTTGCCACTCGAAGATTCTGTCCCGTGGCGACGAGACCTTCCTTGTGGACGTTTGTCGTCCGCGCAACGTCTGGGCACAGAGGAATGCAATTTATCGTTGTGATGCTGTAGTTTGAGAGGCTTATTAAAGTTTTACTGCCCATATCATCTTTCGAAACAAAGCAGACTCGTAACAAACAAGAGTTCCGTGACGTCTGTTTACGCAAAGTCGAGCAGGGGTGAGCAGATTTCTCTTGAGAGGAGCGCCAAAATA